CCCCAAGCCCTAAACTCTGAACCCAAAGAATCCCAAACCCCTGAACCCTAAGCACTAAACCCCAAACTCCATTTTGTCAGGGGTTGATCTGATGAAGCTCAGCGACGAGGAGTTGGAGAAATACGCTGCCTGGAGTCCGACCCGTGTTTCGGGTTTAGGGTTTGGGCTTTAGGAGGGTTTAGGATTTAGGATTTAGGGTAGAGGGTTTAGGGTTCAGGGTTTAGGGTTTCTGGTTTGGGGTTTAGGAGGGTTCAGGATTTTAGGATTTAGGGTAGAGGGTTTAGCGTTTCGAGCCAGCCGACGGTATTGTATCAGGCGTTTACCCGGGGTTTCCATTGTTTGCCAGGCTTCGACAAGGGTTTCGGAAAAAGAATTCCTATCAGGATTTCCTATAAGGGTCTCTGACCCAAGTCTGTCGGATGCCCCGCATGTCCAGTCACGGGTGACTGGAAGCCGGGAGGTTGAAGCCCAACCCGACAGCCGAAACCCCTAAACCCTAAACCCTAAACCCTAAAGCCTAAACCCTAAACCCTAAACCCTAAACCCTGAACCCGAAACCCCAGTTTCCAACCGCCTCTCAACCCCTTGCCCCCCCCTGGAACTCCCAAACCTTGACACGCTTTTACGAGCCCCAACACTCTAGATCGTTTAAGCCCCAACCTATAAAACCTACCTTCAAGTGGACCTTTCCCTTCTTTCCGCGCAAGCCTTCGCATTGGGGTTCTGCTCAGGCAGATCGCGAACTAGTGGAACTACTGAAGGCTACAGCTGAGAGTCCTAAAACCTTTAGATATCTAGTGCTTATTTTGGTAGTTCTCTCAATTCGGGTCCCCTTTCAGGTCCCTAAAATAGCACGGAACCCTTATAACAAGGACCCTATAAGCGACCCTGCTTGAGAGAACCACCCACATAGATCCTTACCCCCAAACCCCCAGCCTAGACCTGCTAAGCTTAAGTCTAAGTCGCAAACCTTAGATCCTAAACCCACGGTTTAGGCTTTTGGGTTCAGGGTTTAGGGCTTAGGGTTTGGGCTTTCGGGTTCAGGGTTTAGGGTTGGGGAACCTTTAGGCCCTAGAGCCTGAATCCTAAACAGCAGAACCCTTGGAACCCTAAATCCTCAACCCTCGAACACTCAATGCTTCCTTAACCCCCCCCCCCCCCCCCAAATCTCTAAACCCCTAATCCTCTACACCATCGCAGGAATCCTCCCTAAGCATCCCTAAACCCTAAACCCTTATAGTGAATGTACTAAGTCAAAATCTCAGGCCCTGCAGGGCCGACCCCGGGAGGTTTCCTTTAAGGGTTTAGGGTTTAAGGTTTAGGGTTTAAGGTTTAAATTAGAGGTTTAGGGTTTAGGGTTTAAGGTTTAGGGTTGAAGGTTTAGGGTTTAGTGTTTAGGGGAAGGAAGGGCTCCTGCAAGGGGTTCCCCTGAAGGTTTCAGGGCTCCCTTGTAAAGGGGTCCAGGCTTCCTCCTCTTTGAAGGTCCCCTGAAGGGTTCAAGGGGTTCCTTTGATTTTATAAAACTTCCTTGAGGTTTGAGGAGTTCCTCTTTAAGCTTCAGAAGGGCATCCCTCAAGGAGGCCCTCAAAAGTTGGTGACCTTCCCAAGGCCTGACACGCCGACCTGATGCTTGTTTTTTCTGGGCTTAGGGGTTTAATTAGGGGTTGAGGGATTCTACTGTTGGTCCTTAGGGTTCCGTAAAATGCAACTCATAGTATAGGAAGCATAGCAAGCTCGAAAACCCCACTTTAGCTGATGGTTTTGTCGCTTGCACCCTGGCAAGCTACGGCAGGGTCTAGCTTTCAGGGTGAATGTAGGCCCGAGATCCCCAAGGCTAACGCTGAGCGTTGCAGCTTGACTCGTGAAGGTTTAGGAGTTTAGGCTTTAGGCTTTGTAGGGTGTAGGGTTTAGGGTGAACTTCAGCACCATTGAACTTGCCTGCTGAATCAACCAGCCCCTAAACCCAAGAGTTTGTGCTCTTTTGTATGTTATTGGACCCCAACTTAGTCTTTTTCGGATAAAGCTTTAAACACCAAGCGGGCTGAGGACGCAATGTCCCGGTGCCGGCAAACAGTGGACCCTCGGCTGCCAGGTACTTCGTAACACTTTTCGTTAGGGTCGGTTTCTGGTTCAGGACATTTTAGGACCAAAACCCTATCAGATCGTAATTATGTGGGCCCCCGTATTATGGGAGGGAGTTGAGGATGACGACTTTGGCTTACGGCTTAGAGTCGAGTTTAGGGTCTAGGATGTGGCCCTAAACCCTAAACCCTTAACCTTTTTTTCGGCTTGGGGTATAGGGTTTCGTGCTTGAGGTTTCGGCTGATCTTGGGGGGTTCTAGTTTATGGAACTGAGATTCAAGAAGTTACCAGACCCCCAAATGGACAGAAAAAGTACACCCTAAACTTCCTGAGCCCTAAACTCTAACCGCCCGAATTCTGGCGTGGGACTTGAGCGCACACCACCCTAAACCCTAAACTCTAAACCCACAGTGGGCAGCCATGTTCCCTTGGAGCCGCCCCTCCTTCGCACCGCGGGGTGTAGGGGTTTTTTGAAACCCATCAGAAAACCTTAACCACAGAACCCCTAACACCTTCGACACCCTAAACCCTAAACGCTCAACCCTAAACCTAAACCCTAAACCCAAACCCTGAGCACACGCCCTTAGCTCTTGAGCTCCTAAACCCTGAGCCCTACAACGTAAACCCCAAACCTCAGATCCGCAACCAAAGTTCTAGAAAGCCCAAAGGGAACCCGATGCCCTGACGTCGCCATCGCTTAGGGTTTAGGCTTTAGGGTTTGGGGTTATCAGGAACCCATCATTTTGGGCTTCGGAGTCTGTGCGTACAAGCCGGCGAAATGCGACGGGATCTGCAGAACAAACCTAATCAAGACTTCAATTTCTATTACCCTAACGCCCCACCATGAACCAGATATCTTTGCGAGACTTTTCTGAACCGTACACCTGAACCTCTTCTTCCGAAGTTAATGCAAGACAGGATCGGCAGAAGTGGGAGACAGAGACATGGAGCCAGCAGGCCCGAAGAGCGCAGCAGGACAGCTTGACGTACAGGGGTCTGAATACTCATAATAGGGTTTAGAGTCTTCCGGGTTTTAGGGTTTCGGGGTTATGAGAGTATTTTCATACTGTTCCTCAAAAACTACAGTATACTATTAATTACTACTATCCTTCATGAACTACAGAAACCTTTAGCATCAAAATAGCCCAAAAGCCTTATATAATAGGGTTTTTGGGTCCAAAAGTCTTAAAATATGAGTCCTTTGAGGCCCTAAACCCTAAACCCAAAATCCTAAACCCTAAACCCTGCTCATGCACCGCACTAGGAGGCGATCCGGCTGCGACAGGGAGGTCCGGTTGCCAATACCGAGCTCGAGGCCCGTCGTGCAGTTTTGGACGAGGGCTCAGGGCTGTACTGCGCAGGTTTAGGGTTTAAGGGTTTAAGGGTATAAGGGTTTAAGGGTTTAGGATTTAGGGTTTAGGGGTAATTAGTTCTCTAAATTAGGGTCCCGTTTAGATTCGCTTGTATAAGGGTGCCGTACTATTTTGGTGACCCAGAAAG